TGTACAGAATTCCACTTTAAAGGAGAACTAATAAAGTGCATCCATATATTTTCTATATTAGAATATTCTGTTGTACAGAGACAGCATTCCTGGAGATGTAATGTGGCAGTTGGTAAAATAAGAGGAGGGCATGGTCTGCGGAATACAAGCCTCCATTATTATACTGTGTACCAAGTTATACAATGTTCGATATGCCAGGTTTTGCAGTTTACAACAATCTTCTTATTAAGGCCCCTTGCACACAGGGCTGTCCAGGAGCAATGTGCCCCTTGCTGTGTTTCAGTCCCAGGCCTTCATTCCTAAAGAGGGCAGCACAGTGGCTAAATGGTTAGCACTTCTGCCTGGCAGTGCTAGGGTTGTTGGTTCGAATCCCAACCCTGGCACCACCTGCCTGGAGTTTGCATGTTCTCCCTGTGTCTGCGTGGGTTTCCTCCAGATACTCCAGTTTCCTCCCACACTCCAAAGACATGCAGGTAGGTTAATTGTATCCTGTATAAATTGGCCCTTGTATATGAATGTAAGTTAGGGACCTTAGATTGTATACCCCTTGAGGGTTAGGAACTGATATGAATGTACAATATATATGTAAAGCACTGCATAAATTGATGGTGCTATATAAGTACCTGAAATAAATAAATAATAAATAAATGCACGGCTGGACATAGCACTTGTCCCTTTCAGGTGCACTAAAACCCCAGGATAGATGCACTGCTCCTAGAAGGCCCCATGTGTTTAAAATACAAAATTCTGAAGATTTATCCACCTTCCAAAAAAAAAAAACATCTATGTAAATTAGCCTTTATACTCCTAAAAGAAGTTTATAATTTAAAAAAGTTACACAACATTTATGTGTGTCAATAAATGACAGATCATTGGCTGAAGCACTGGGAATCAGTAAAGGATAAGTTCACCTTTTGGAACATGTAAGGCTACCTTCTCACTGATCCATAGTATATCTATATGCTTTTTTGTTACATTTTTTTTCAGGACATGTGACTTAAAAAGTGCACCAAAAACACAACACGGGTACACTTTTGATGCATTTTTTCTGTTTGTTCCATTCATTTCAATGGAGAGGTTTTTTTTTGGGGTGCTTTTTTTTTTACCCCACCAAACCTGCCCCAAAAAAGCAGCAAGCAGGATTTTAAAAAATGCAGCAGACCCACAATGGATCAGTGTAAAGCCTTCTATAGGATTACATGGTCACATGTTTTTTTTCTTCTTTTTTTAATGCAAAAGTGGACAAAAAATGGATCAGTGTGAAAGCAACCTCACACGTTCCAGCAGCTGCAGCCTCCCCACCTTCCCAATGATGTCCTCCTGGTGCCTGCTGTCACTATTTGAAAATAATGTGGCCATGCAGCCTCACCATTCATTCGCAGTTTCCTGTAAATGACGTGAACTACAACTATCATCAGGCTTTGCAGATGACATGTTGTAGTTCTGAATGGATTGCGGGGTCGCTGATGAGCGCCCTTGTAGTTCATTCACAAGTCCTGCAGCTTTGTAAAGTCAGGGTGGAAGCTGCAGGGCTTGCCTTCAGGAGTCTGACATTGCACCCCTGACCCACTGATGATGGGTGCAATGCTTTCCAGGCTCCTTAGGGAAAAAATAATAAATATAATTTTTTTTCCCCACAAAAATATGTGCATTACTTTTCCCAAAAAGTGAACTTATCATTTAACAGTTGCCATGTTTTTCAAGCCCAACCCCAGGAATTAAAACAAATCCTCCCTCGCAGTGGGTGCCCCCCCCCAGCACTGCATGGGGTTAAATGTTCGTCATGTCTAGGGCTGCAGAGATAAGGTGTAATACTTACCTTATTCCTCACTCCAACAGGGTCCCTCCAGCGCTGTGACCTACCTGCAGACTGCTCTGTGAGTGCTGACCGCTTCCAGGCTCCCCAGTGTGTCATAACGCCTTGGCTCCTCCCACAGTCCACAGCAAGTACTACATCTTTTTTCGTACATTCCTGGAATTAAGCTTTGAAAAAATACTTTCCCCCTTTTGCCATCATTCCTTATATTTCAGGTTTGCTGATCCCCTGCTGTCTCTTTACAGCCACTTCCTGCCTCCATATATACATTCCAGGGGTGGCTGCATGGCATTTTTCATGGTGGGTTTTCTGATTGTGACAACACTGGCTATATCTGTTCATGGGTGTTAAATTGTCACCTGTAGTGTTCATAAGACGCCTATGTGATAGAGTGACAATGCAGACAATTCTAGATGAAGCAGCACACCAATGACCTTGCAGTAAAAGCCTTGGGTACTAAGATATAGTACCGATGGCCTTTTGAGGTCACACAGGGAACCCCTTATTAAGGTAAACAAGCAGGAAAGCAGCTGAGAGATGGAAACAGGTTAACCAACCGTCATTAAATTTACTGACAGTTTGTAAAAATTGGTGATTTTTACAGCTGTCAGTAAATATCTGGTGGAGGTATTTTATGTCAGTAAAAAACAGTCCTTATTTTCAGGCCTGTTAGTGTCGGCTCAACAAGTGTAAGAAAGAACCCCTTGGCAGCCTGATGCAGCACCAGCAGCCATCTAAGCAGGGATAGGAGCCACTTGGGATTATTTTTAAATAAAAGCTGGTGGCGAATAGAGCAGGTGGATGCATTTGGTGATCCTGCTCCTCTAGGTCCAGCTGCGGAGTGATCTCACCTGTGCTCTGCCTGCTGCCTCTCTGCATAGATAGGTAGTTGGAACCCGGTGCTTTTCTGACGGCAACAGCTCCTGCAGCCTGTGCCCATGACCCCGTGTGTCCCGCAGCTACACTCCATTACACTCCTGAGTAGCCTATCCTGCTCTTCTGCAGCTCTCTATCAGGTACTATCAAGGAGGGGGATTCGGGTGTGGGGGTAGAGCACTGTACTGGAGGAGGGGGGCATTTGAGGGGAAAAGGGGGCACCCCTGTACTCTGCAAGCAGCGCACCCCTGAGCCCTGCACTTTGTACGCAGCACACACGTGAGCTCTGCGCTCTGTATGCAACAGAACCCTGCCCTCTGTATGCAACGCACCCCTGAACCCTGCCCTCTGCATGCAGCACACCCCTGAACACTGCCCTCTGTACAGCAGCGCACCCCTGAACCCTGCCCTCTGCAAGCAGCGCACCCCTGAACCCTGCCCTCTGCAAGCAGCGCACCCCTGAACCCTGCCCTCTGCAAGCAGCGCACCCCTGAACCCTGCCCTCTGCAAGCAGCGCACCCCTGAACCCTGCCCTCTGCAAGCAATGCACCCCTGAACCCTGCCCTCTGTATGCAGCGCACCCCTGAACCCTGCCCTCTGCACAGCAGTGCACCCCTGAACCCTGCCCTTTGTACGCAATGCACCCCTAAACCCTGCCCTTTGTATGCAATGCACCCCTGAACCCTGCCCTTTGTACGCAGTGCACACCCCTGAACCCTGCCCTCTGTACACAGCGCACCCCTGAACCCTGCCCTCTGTACACAGCGCACCCCTGAAAACTGCCCTCTGTATACGCAGCGCACCCCTGAACCCTGCCCTCTGCAAGCAGCGCACCCCTGAACCCTGCCCTCTGTAAGCAGCGCACCCCTGAACCCTACCCTCTATATGCAGTGCACCCCTGAACCCTGCACGTGGCAAACCCCTGGACCCTGCCATCTGTACGCAGCGCACTCCTGAACCCTGCACGTAGCACACCCCTGAACCCTGCCCTCTGTATGCAGTGCACCCCTGAACCCTGCCCTCTGTACACAGCGCACCCCTGAACACTGCCCTCTGTAAGCAGCACACCCCTGAACACTGCCCTCTGTAAGCAGCACACCCCTGAACCCTACCCTCTGTATGCAGTGCACCCCTGAACCCTGCACGTGGCAAACCCTTGAACCCTGCCCTCTGTACACAGCACACCCCTGAACCCTGCCCTCTGTACATGGCGCACCCCTGAACCCTGTATGCAGCACACACTCCTGGTATTTAATGCCCATTTAAGACCTTCACACTGCAGGAGGTGATACTGCTGCCTCCTGAATTTTTTTTTCCAGCCGAATGGGAATTGTACATTGAAATAATGTCTCAACCGCAATTTTTCAGGTTTTCAGAAAAAATGTGCCTTGATGGAAATGACATTAAAGTTCATCCAAACTCAAGAACACAGAAGTAATATACTGCAGATTATCTGTCCTTAGATGTGCTGACTGCATTTGTTTTGTTTTTATCCAAACTGATAATTTTTTTTTTTAATTAAAATTTTTATTTATTTTCCATATACATATTTCATCATTATTCTCATACAAAAACCATTTCCATATCATTAATATCCGAACTGATAATGACCTGTTGGTCCTGCCAAAAATCCAGGGTGTCTTTCATTTCCTCTGCACTGAACTGAATTCTCAAACAGTTATATCAGCTTGCCTTGTTCACTTCTGTGCGCTACAGAACACCTCCCCTATGATATGGAAATGGAAAGAGGGGGAGGTGTTCTGTAGTCTGTTGTAGGGTGACGTTGCTCCTCCATTGATACAGTACAGCGGGGATTGTCACTGCAGCACAGGAAGCATGCGGCTGGCAGATCAGCAGGCTAAAAGAGAAATTGACTGACAAACAAGTGCAGGCACTACATCTAATGACCAGTACACTGCAATAGAATCAGGCCCGTCTTTACCACAGGGCAAAAGAGGCAGCTGCCCCGAGCCCAGTCATTGTTGTGGGGCCCAAAGCAGCTGCCTCTTGAGCCCGTAAAAAGTCGGCTGTGGTTGGTTTTGCAACTGCTCATGCACAGTTCACTAAGCCGACCAACTGCTCACTGAGGATGGACTCGGGCTGTGCGGCAGCAGGGCGGGTCAGGGAGGATGTGTGCCTGGCTCTCTTTCATCTAGAATTTCCCACCTCGGTACTCCATTACGTCTTCCAAGTCCCAACCAACCACTGCCTGACCAGCCATCACATGACCTCCACAATAGCCAATCACTCCACTCCTAACAACCAGAGATGTGACCAGTGGGGCGGGGCAGGGGGGGACCGTTGCGCCCTGCCTTCCTCTGTACAATCTATGATGGGAGTCTGCAGTCTTTGACCATCTCCTGTAATATGTCTGCAGTGTCTGACCATCTCCTGCAGAGAGTGTTTGCAGTCTCTGACCTTCTCCTATAGTATGTCTGCAGTCTCTGACCTTCTTCTAAATCATGTTTGCAGTCTCTTGACCATCTCCTGTAGTATGTCTGCAGTCTCTGACCATCTCCTGTACTATGTCTGCAGTCTCTGACCACCTCTTGTACTATGTCTGCAGTCTCTGACCACCTCTTGTACTATGTCTGCAGTCTCTGACCACCTAGTACAATGTCTGCAGTCTCTGACCATCTCCTGTAATATGTCTAGACAAAATCTCATGTCTGCAGTCTCTGACCCATCTCCTGTACGTCTGCGGTCTCTGACCTTCTCTGTAACACGTCTGCGGTCTCTGACCTTCTCCTGGCCACGTCTGCGGTCTCTGACCTTCTCCTGTAACATGTCTGCGGTCTCTGACCATCTCTGTACTATGTCTGCAGTCTCTGACCTTCTCCTGTAACACGTCTGTCTCTGACCTTCTCCTGTAATATGTTTGTAGACAACATCTCCTGTAACACGTCTGCGGTCTCTGACCTTCTCCTGTAACACGTCTGCGGTCTCTGACCTTCTCCTGTAACACGTCTGCGGTCTCTGACCATCTCCTGTGTCTGCGGTCTCTGACCATCGCCTGTAACACGTCTGCGGTCTCTGACCATCGCCTGTCGTCTGCGGTGACCATCGCCTGTAACACGTCTGCGGTCTCTGACCATCTCCTGTAACACGTCTGCGGTCTCTGACCATCTCCTGTAACACGACTGCGGTCTCTGACCATCGCCTGTAACACGTCTGCGGTCTCTGACCATCTCCTGTAACACGTCTGCGGTCTCTGACCATCGCCTGTAACACGTCTGCGGTCTCTGACCATCTCCTGTAACACGTCTGCGGTCTCTGACCATCTCCTGTAACACGTCTGCGGTCTCTGACCATCTCCTGTAACACGTCTGCGGTCTCTGACCATTTCCTGTAATACGTCTGCGGTCTCTGACCATCTCCTGTAGTATGATGTGCAGTAACCTCTAGCAACCTATCAGTGAGTGTGGACCAGTTTTTTATGTTTACAGGTGAAACTCGAAAAATTTGAATATTGTGCCAAAGTTCATTTATTTCAGTAATGCAACTTAAAAGGTGAAATTAATATATGAGATAGACTCATTACATGCAAAGCAAGATAGTTCAAGCCGTGATTTGTCATAACTGTGATGATTATGGCTTACAGCTCATGAAAACCCCAAATCCACAATCTCAGAAAATTAGAATATTACATGCAATCAATAAAACAAGGATTGTACATAAAACAATATCGGACCTCTGAAAAGTAGAAGCATGCATATGTACTCAGTACTTGGTTTGGGCCCCTTTTGCAGCAATTACTGCCTCAATGCGACGTGGCATGGAAGCTATCAGCCTGTGGCACTGCTGAGGTGTTATGGAAGACCAGGATGCTTCAATAGCGGCCTTCAGCTCTTCTGCATTGTTTGGTCTCATGTCTCTCATCTTTCTCTTGGCAATGCCCCATAGATACTCTATGGGGTTCAGGTCAGGCGAGTTTGCTGGCCAATCAAGCACAGTAATCCCACGGTCATTGAACCAGGTTTTGGTGCTTTTGGCAGTGTGGGCAGGTGCCAAGTCCTGCTGGAAAATGAAGTCAGCATCCCCATAAAGCTCGTCTACGGAAGGAAGCATGAAGTGCTCCAAAATCTCCTGGTAGACGGCTGCGTTGACCCTGGACTTAATAAAGCACAGTGGACCAACACCAGCAGATGACATGGCTCCCCAAATCAACACAGACTGTGGAAACTTCACACTGGACTTCAAGCATCTTGTAGTGTGTGCCTCTCCATTCTTCCTCCATACTCTGGGTCCTTGGTTTCCAAATGAGATGCAAAAGTTGCTCTCATCAGAAAAGAGGACTTTGGACCACTGAGCAACAGACCAGGTCTGTTTTTCTTTAGCCCAGGTAAGACGCTTCTGGCGTTGTTTGTTGTTCAGGAGTGGCTTGACAAGAGGAATACGACATTTGAAGCCCATGTCCAGGATCCGTCTGTGTGTGGTGGCTCTTGATGCACTGACTCCAGCCTCAGTCCACTCCTTGTGAAAGTCCCAACACTTTTGAATGGCCTTTTCCTGACAATCCTCTCCAGGCTGTGATCATCCCTGCTGCTTGTGCACCTTTTTCTTCCACACTTTTCCCTTCCACATAACTTTCTATTAATGTGCTTTGATACAGCACTTTGGGAACATCCAACTTCTTTTGCAATTACTTTTGAGGCTTTCCCTCCTTATGGAGGGTGTCAATGATGGCTTTCTGCACAACTGTCAGGTCAGCAGTCTTTCCCATGATTGTGATTCCTACTGAACCAGACTGAGAGACCATTTAAAGGCTCAGGAACCCTTTGCAGGTGTTATGGCTTAATTATCTGATTAGAGTGGGACACTTTGAGCCTAGAATATTGCACCTTTTCACAATATTCTAATTTTTCTGAGATTGTGGATTTGGGGTTTTCATGAACTGTAAGCCATAATCATCACAATTATGACAAATCATGGCTTGAACTATCTTGCTTTGCATTTAATGAGTCTATCTCATATATTAGTTTCACCTTTTAAGTTGCATTACTGAAATAAATGAACTTTTGCACGATATTCAAATTTTTTTGAGCTTCACCTGTACATTACTAAAGATCTAAAGTCTTGGGTTTTTTTTTTCAATAACAAGCATATTATATTTACCTGCTCTTTGCAGTGGTTTTTCACAGAGCAGCCTGGGTCCTCTTTTTTCGGGTCCCCCACCAGTGCTCCTGGCCCCTCCCTCCTGTCATGTGCCCCACAGCAAGCTGCTTGCTATGGGGTCACCCAAGCAGGTGCTCTCTGAGCTGCGGCTCTGTGTGTCCATTCACACACCCAGCTGTGGCTCCGTCCTGCCCTCTCCATCTCCTGATTGGCTCACTGGCTTTGATTGACAGCAGTGGGAGCCAATGGCTTTCATTGCTGCCTCAGCCAATCAGAAGTGAGAATCCCTGGAGAACTGAGGCTCTTGTTGACCCTACACACAGGTTTGCGGGTGAAATTGGATAGGGGGCCTCCAAGAAAATTTTTGCCCGGGAGTCCAATCAATAATAAAGCCGTCCCTGAATACAGAATTGTATTACTGGGTCTAGATCCAGTCCTCTATGGGGGTCGTGCAGTGTGGATGTCTCCTTGAAGCGAAGCAGATAGAACACCTTATGAATGAATTGTCCCCACATGACCTGCATTGCTCCCTTATAGCACAGCTGGCTGCCTCTCTGGCAAACCTCGCCTTCAGCCCCGCCCACAGACATGCACATTCAATACCTGGAGGCGTTGTTTGAGCACCAGCCACACCCCTCCCGGGTTTCCCTTCACGCCCCTTGGCTGTATATTCCCAGTCAAGACCACGCCTCTCCGTGCTTCCGTCCGCGCCCCTTGGCTGCACATTCCCAGCCAAAGTCACGCCCCCTCCCCTTCGCCCCGTCTGATGGCAGCACATCCCCGGCCCAAGCCACGCCTGTGCAGTCAGGTAGGCGTGGAGCGAAGCCAGGGAAAGGAGTGGCTTACGCCATGGATGTGTAAGCGGGAGGTGGGGAAGGCGTGACGAGAGGTAAAGGGGCGTGTCGTTCATGCCCCCTCCTGCATATCCCCAGACTGAGTCACGGCCCTTCGTTGCCTCTCCACGCCCCCCACCTACACATCCCCAGCCCCAAACCATGACGTAGCCAGATGTGTAAAGCCTAATCCGACTACGGTAACCCGGATGACTCTAACCTATTCGGAGGGCGGGTAGCGCGTTTTCTTGCCCGGACTCCCAGCCTGATAGGTGCGCCGTGATTGGTGGACATCAAAAGCCCGTGCTGAAAGGTGCTCTGCTATTGGCGGAGGCCTCCAGCGGCATGGGTCCGAGCTCAGGCTTTGTATACAGTCAGTGGAGCTCGGCCCTTTAACAATGGATGGGGAGAGCCTGAGCGATTGATGGACGGGGCCGGCCAGCAGAACAGGGGGATCGGTGACAGGGCGGACGAGATGTGCTTGGGCTGTAAGCGGCGCTCCGGAGCTGATTAGTGAGCGAGGTCCGTCGGAGGAGGGGGGGGAGGGGATGGGGAACTTTCACGGGGGGCGATTGTGAGTGTGCGGGGGGCTTTGTTGGCTGCCGGCTTGGATCCTCCATGGACATCACCCCCCGCACAGTCCATTACAGGACATAGGTGGTCCATACATCACCCTGTACACTTCATCTGATTGTATTGTTATCAGCAGCCTTGGAGCTGTATGGGACTTCATCCTATAACAAGCAGTGACCACAGTCTACCCAGCCAATCACTGATCTCATTCTGAAAATGTCATTTAACACGCAGATTACATTAAAAACTGTGAGATCTTGATTTAAACCACGTGATGGCAAATGCTGCCATCTGATTGGACACAGGATGGAATCATTGTTACTTTTTATATATTAGAGATCCCACTTGTATCCCTGGGATCAAATGTCCATGCAGATCTCCAATGGTAGACTTGTTAGCCAGGCCTTCCTTTTCATCAACCCCTTAATGAGATCTGGGGGAGTGAGGAGCAGGCTGGGGAGGGAAGGGTTAAACCTCTCTTGGTGGGATTTTAATTAAGTGCAAATAAGGGAGTCAGTGTTATGATGATGTGCTGGCTGAGAGCGAATCAGATGGGCCCTTTGTATGGAAAGTGATATCTCATGGAGGAAACTCAACTTCTCTGGCTGATCGCCTTGTCTTCCAGGCTGAACTTCTTCTCTGGGGATTGGACCTCCTGACGTCTCGGGCCATGGAGCTGGAAGGCTTGTGGTGGAAGGGCCAGCTGGCTGCTGATATCCACCAGGCACTCCGCTATAAGGTACATGGGGTAGACCCGGGATTGGGGGTGTTCCGTGACATGAAAAGGGCCATTGAAGTAGAAGTGCCAGTAATAAATATGAAATCATTCAACTTTATGAAGGTATGACATCCCCAAATCTGTAGTGTCCAAACTTGGGGGTTACAAACAATCCATTGCAAGCTTACCTAATAAGGTTTTATAATTGTTCAGTTTAAACTCTATTGCAACTTGTGCAAAAAAAAAAAAATAAAGTCGTAACCATATGTGTTGCCAACATATCCAATATTATTCCATGTTTACAAGTTATTGCTGGTATTAAACTATTGAAACTTGAGAAAACAAAAATGTGTGTTAGCAACATAACTAATTTTCACACTTACAAATTCAACTGCAACTTCTTAAAACAAAAAATAACCACTTGTACGAATATTCCTGTTATTCTGTATACCAGTTTCATTAACAATTAGCATATTCACATCAGCCAAGGTGTTTTTAATACAAATGGGGGAAAAACACAAATGTATGGAAATCATATGTAAAAAAAAAAAAAAATTTTAAAAGTATCTAAACAAGTATTAAAACCTTCAAGACCATGTGGGTTATAGAAGTGATGAGACTGTAGATTAAATGTATCATAGAATGAATTAAATACATTTTTTATATATATACTTGTATACTTTTTGTGAGTTTTTCATTCATTCATTCATTTTATTATATATATATATATATATATATATATATATATATATATATATATATAAATAAAAACACACACTAAAAATTTTCATATATATCTAATTCATGCTATGATATACTTAATCTACAGTGAGTATGTGTGTGTGTATGTATGTATATGTATGTATGTGTATATATATATATATATATATATATATATATTATATATATATATATATATATATATATATATATATAATTTTTTTTTTTGTGTGAGATTTTAGTTAATAAATATTTCTACACTTTATGTAATTTTTAACTTTGACACATTTTTGCTTTTGTGCCTATTCTAATGGCACTGTGGGGGGCAGAGGTGATCCAAAAGGCTTGTGGCTTTGGTCATCTTCTTTCTGTGATGTTGCTCAAGGGGGAAGATCCTTGGTGTTGCATTGTCTTGTAGGTCTTCTGGCAGCTCCTAAGTTGTGGCCAGCTGGTCAATTCCCCATGCCTCCGTTCACACTCCAGTAGTGTTAAGTAGCAGGGAGCCTGCAGTTTCCTTTAGGGCATATGTGTTTGAAAATACTTTGTGAGCAGGCTCTGGGGTGCTGCCACAAATAGATTTTCACGGTTTTAAATCCCTTTTGTTATTCAACAGCAGGCAAGGGGGATGTTCCTTTAAAACAGCAAAGTGGCCAGCGATTGCAAAAGCCTCTTGTGTTGCTACAAGTGTCCCCTTTCAGGGTGGTGGAGGGTCTGCAGATCATCTTTATTGCTAAGTTTTGGAAATCTGGCCCCTTGTTTTCAGTAAATACTCATTTACATGCAATATAAAGTATTGTTTTCCTTAGTCCCTCCACTTAATTTGGTCTACCACCCATTTGAGTGGAGTAGGTTGCTATGGTTGCCCACATTAATTATTTGATGAATTGTTGTTCTGCAGAGCAGAGTCATGTCTATAATCTGCACAATTCAATTAGAGACTCAGACATTTTCAAGTCTAAAATATAAGGGGGCGCTTGTTGAAATTTAGTCATTCTGGATGAACATTGCTATTTTGATAGCCACTGTTTATTTTAACTAGTTGAAAATATACCCCCCATTAGAGTACTGTGCATGTGTAGGATGAGTCAAATGTATTCTATTTAGAACAATGACTTAGTGTGTACAGAGTGAAGTGCATCCATTGTGCTGCTTTAGCTGCATAGGTATGAATATTGTTAACGTTAAATACAAGTAATCTTTTTAGTTGGCTACCAAGAGCTATCCTTCTACAACACATTTCACTATCTGCTTTCTGATGAGTTGCTGCATTGATAACTCTGTTTTTTTTTAACTTTGAAATATATGGTAAAAATATATTTTAGCCAATAATTTAAAACACTTGATTGTTATTTTGTGTCCAGAGACATTTCACCCTAGACTAATTGTACTCATCCCCTTTTTTTTTAATTTGCACCCAGCAATAGAATAAATACTACAGGTGTTGATTGATTAATGTCTCAAAATAGTTGTCTGTAGTAACAGATGGGAATAAATCACTCCACTCCAAAAATTAGCTTTCTGCAACTTAATCCCCTCTCACTTAGTGGGTTTTTGTTTGTTTGGTTTTTTTTTTACACACATTCTAAAAGATTTATTTTTAATTTTTTTTTGCCCTGCTGCCATTTTTGCCTCCTAGGATACTGAGGTTGGATATCCCAGGAGGCATTATCTACCATTCATGTAAGCCGACACCAGAACTCGCACATGCAGAGCTCTGCCACTGCTTCAATAGAGGGGATGGCTGCGGGAACCAGGAAGAGACAGCCGGCTCCCAGTGACATAAACCACAAAAGATGGTTGATTGTTGGCAATGTGACAATGATAGTTTATTTTATTTTTTTTATTAAAAAAAAAATATATATAAATTCATACCTGGAATAAATAGTGTTAAGTACCTGCATTTTGATTAAAACCGTTTAGAAAAAACTTAAGTGGTTCAAAAGTTATTGTATGTATTAGCCTGGGTTCACACTTGTGCGGTGCGGCATACCGCATGTGATTCGCACAGGAACTGCACTGCATTCCTGTGCAAATCGCATCTGGTGTATTGTTTTGTTACTGTATTGTCTCATGTTCTGTCTCCCGCTATAATGTACAGCGCTGAGCAAACCTTTGACGCTTTATAAATACTGTATAATAATTCTGAGCAGTGCAATTTGAGCCATACAGATTGTTTGTCTCTAATCGCATTTGTACCAAAGGTGCAGGGCCCTTTTTTTTTTTTTTTTTTTTTTTTTTTTTTTTTTGGGTCCGCACTAGAATTGGATCGCATGTGTATTCGCACCCATGCGATCCGATCCTGCACATCGCACCGCGTTTTGCAGACCGATTTTGGGGTGTTGTTAACATACACACCCGCAGCGGTTCACGTGAACGGGGTGCGATTGTGATGCGGTGCAGAATTTGCACAGAAACCGCTGCAAATTCCGCACAGCATCAGTGTGAACCCAGGCTCAAAATAAAAAAAAAAAAAAAAAAAAATAAAACTCCCCACCACCACACCCCACTCCCCATCAGCACACCACACTGTGCTTGCTATGGTGGCACATGCAGAAGACAAGGAGACTAGAGCTGTGGCAGTTTACAGAAGAGGAGGTCCGGGCTGTTCTTTGCTATACCACTGCACAGAGCATATAAGTATGGCATGTTTGTTATTTTCAGAAAATTAACTTTACAATCATTTTAAACTGTTAAGAATAAATGTAAAAAACCTCTAATAGAACTGAATAGACACCAGTCTGGAAGGAAACATTTGTGTTAATTGCTGTACCAGAATGCCAGAAAGACATGTGTGACAGAGGTTAATGTATTCTCTCCAATTGTCTGCAAAGCTCAAATTACCATTTTGCTGTCTGTTTACTTAGGAATTGAAGCTTCCGTCCTACAAAAGCCAGTCTCCCCAGCTGAACTTAAGACGCTACTTTGCAGACTTGATAGCTATTGTCAGCAATCGGTTTAAACTGTGTCCAACTGCTCGCCATCTCGCTGTGTACCTGCTGGACCTCTTCATGGACAGATATGATATTTCTATCCAACAGCTCCATATTGTGGCATTATCTTGTCTGCTTTTAGCAAGTAAGCCATTATTTTATCTACTAATGTCAAAAACATGTTATGCAATATGTTTTTCCTTCTATGTCTGACCTTTTACATGCAGAGGATTCTTGTCTGTCCAGTTAAAGCTTCAGAATTAAACTTGCTTAATAACACTGACCTTCTGTCATGAAATCTATGCAAAGTCATATGTGTTCAGCCTTGGGCTAAGCTGCCTCAAAAACTAGTGGAATTCAATCAACAAGATTTCTCTACTAGAAATGGGAAAAAAATATATGCACTATTTTATTTTAACCTGAGGAAATCTAAATAGTCATTTGTTTTAAGCTGTTACAAAACAATAGAAAAATGTGCAAATTCACCATTTGTTTCCTTTAAATGATACGCTCATCTTTTTCTAAAAATAAATAAATGTACATCTTTTTGCAGGAAAAAAAGCATTTATTTTTGACAGAAGCCTGCAGAGAATTGCAGCAACAATATAATGTTTGGGTCCTGCTCAAGCTACCTACCGTTCTGTTGTCCATACCTCTGTACAGGCAGACAGCTCCTAGCTGTAGGCAGTGTGGATGGAGGAAGAGTGAGATGATTAGCATGCTTGCAGTTCATTGATACTGCAAGTCCATCATCCGAGGTGGCGGATAGGACTATTTTATTCATTCACAGATCACTGTGAATAAATGACGTAACTGTGCAGCCAGAGCCACACACAGCCATGACCATTTCAAAATGTGACAATAGATGCAGGGAGAGGAACCCTGCTGTCACTGGGGGTTGATGGGGAAGATACTGCATAATAACATGTTACACCCCAAATGCCGTTGTAACATGTTGTAAAAGGGAAATCTGCCCATGTACAGAAAGGTGGCAGTGAAAGGGCTTATTTACATAAGTGTTTCCCTCTGAAAAGTGATCTGTGGTAAATTATTTTTCAGAAGGTGCTTGATATATGCTTCCTCCTTGCTGCCTGTCTTAACCCTTTAAAATCCATCTCAATGATGCCACCACATGCTATGCACACAGTTGCTGGGCAGTTGTAGTTGGGGGGCCTCGTTCACACCGCCTGCCACACACCAGAGGGGGTATAATAACTTGCTGTGCCGTGAAGCGTTACATCACTGCCATGGCAAGTATAGAACCCCATCCGGCTGCCTTTGCAAATTAAGGGGAGCATTAAAATGTGGCTCAACAACCTGTTTTTACCACCACAAGTGAAAATGTTGTTTAATTTAGTTCCCTTCTCCACAGCTGAACATGCTGAATGGAGTTGCAGGAAAGAAGCAACTGGAAGCAAAGGAAAAGCATCCCTGTGCAAGCTCCTGGCAATTGCAGTTTGAGCTTACACAGGGCAGAGGACTCCACCATGTACAGTGATGGGCCAGCCACCAAGTGGCCATGCTGCTGTTAGATGTTTCTCCATGTCTATAAATACCTAGTGTGTGTTTTGTCTCATGCATGCAGGATGTTTTCCTAACTCTCCTAGAAGCCTTTCCTCCTGGCAGCAGAATTTTGGCAGAAAAAACACCTGATGCTTGTAAATGTGATGCGTTTAGTTGTGTCAAGCGTTTGGGCAATAATTCATTTCATTGGCCAGAATAAATCTGGCAATTGAAATTCACGCTCAGGCATTAAACGCGTCTAGTGTTTAATGCACATTTACAGGTGTTTAGAAGCGTCAAACTTTTTGCTTTCTGCCAGAACTCTGCTGCTCCTGAGTGCACTGGCAGTTGGGTTTTATTTCCTGCCTCCTAAATGCCTATGTGTGCATGGACACAAATGCTAACATGTAGGGGTGCTTAGAGGCAGGAAAAAAGTCAGATGCCCCTAGAAGCGACTGTAAAAATGTCCAGTGTGCATGAGGCCTTCTAAGGCCATGTGCACACTGCTGCTCCTAAGTGTGAGTTTAACTGCTTTTGCCCCCCCCCCCCCCCCCCTCCAAAAGCCCCTGAACTCAACTCCGATAAATGCCTGTGTCCATGTGGACAAAGACTTGCCAGAGTTTAGGGGCAGTTCAATTGTTCCTCTCCTGGATGCAGAAGAATTGTGTTCAGGAGAGGAAAGTTTTGGCCAAGTAACATCAAACGCAGCAAAACCGTGTGTAGATGCATATACACTTGGATGTTTATTAATTTCAATGGCAAGTACTCTGGCCATTTAAATAAATGGCTAAATGCGGTATCGTGTTTACATGTGTTTTTGCTGTGTTTAGCACTTTTCTGCTGCCAGAGAACACCTAGGGGAGTTCCGAGTGTACATGTAGCCTGATACTTCAATGTCTTCTGTATTTCTCTGCCTTATCAATTTGTACTTTACAGTAAGCAAAAAAAGTTGTACAAACTGAACAGATACAGAAAAGGGGTAATGGACAGGTCAAACTTCAAATACTTTATTGCTGGTCATTGGATGAAGGCTACACACATGGCTGTAATAATTTTACTGAATATAAAGGCTAAGCTTTTCTGGCAAAAGTTTTTTTGCATAAATGATCAGTAAAATGCTTGCCTCTAGATACTCTATTTAAATGCGTAACGTTATATTCATTCTAAAGTTCCATATCCTCTTGCTTTTCCTTTTCAGTACCAGAATGCACTGTTTGCATCGGTATATACATGCATTTACGCACCCATAAATGCATGTTTACACACCCGTGTGCATGTCCCTATTGAATATACAGTAATTAATACACCTACATTTAGATCCAAAATCATAAAAAGACTGAATTTTTTTTTTTAACATTCATATGCATGATACTGGATCATTTTTGGAACTGGCACTAAAGCAAGTCTGTTGCATGGATAACGTAGGGGTTTACCTAATAATGGATGCATATGATCATTTACAGCCCTATAAGAGGGGGTTGTCAACTCCTTTTAATTATTGACCTATGAAAGGTATACAAGAACTGTATGTAATTGCATCCTATCAGTTCCATGCATGCATTTAATTAGCTATTGAATCTGTGTAATTGATACTTGATGTTCATCAAGAGACAAGTTGCCACCTGTTGTAAAATGGGAGACAGAAGAGTTGGATATCATCTCTGCTTAAATGTAGCAGCTGAGATTAAAATAACAAGGTATTGGAGAAGCATGAAAAATTGCCTTTTTTTTTTTTTTTTTTTTTTTTTTTTTTCCCCAGTTTATGGCAGACATGCTGGTAACAACCAAATGCATTGTTAAGCCAAGAACAGTCGTGTGTTTTTAAATTCTTTTATGGTTGTATCACTGAACCGCCCCATCCATCCCAGATTGCAGCCTAAATAGTACTGTCTGATGGAGGAGCCATGTGTTGATCAGGGGCAGGGGCGGACTGACAGAAAGAGGAGCTCAGGGGCGGACTGACCATTTGGAAACTCGGGCACTGCCCGAGGGCCCGGGGTCAGTAGGGGGCCCCATGAGATGCCCCTGGTACCTTTTTCATAGGCTTTTTGGAGTTTGGTCAAGGACGCTGGCGCCCCATGATCCCCTATTGCCCGGGGGCCCCATGAGTTGTCAGTCCGCCCCTGCAGGGGTAACTTACAGCTGGGGTTTGTGTGGATATGCCTCTTAATGACTACATGGACTTCCTGTGCTTACTTAAACTTGTGTCCATAGATTTCTAATGTCTTCCATGCACGCTTCATGATGGATTGTGGGTGGCAGTATAGGGTGCTGCTCACTAGGTTGTATCTTGAGATCTAAGGGCTGTGCTCTTTTGAAAGATGTGCAGGTAAAAGCAAAATAAATTAGTCCTGCTCTCACTAATTGCCTTAGCAGCACATTTTACTAGATTACAATCAGTAGTAGCATTTCCTGTGTCTTTTATTAGTCTTGGACTTCTTTTTGATCCTGTTAACCATTCTTTGTACTCGTCAACGCCCCCTTTTTTTTTTTTTTTTTTTTTTTTTTTTTTTTTTTTTTTTACACCATAAAGAAAAATCTAGTTTTGCTGTATAATATATATTTTGGATGCACACACTGGGCTAGCAGCATATATGTAGGGGTGGTGCTCAATCCCCTATCATTTCATGCTGTTGCTTCAATTTGCGATACAACTGCTTTCACCTGTCGTTTTTGGTTCTTTGATTGTATTACCTACATATTTTAAATCTGACATTGTAGATTTGGCAAAGATTCAGTAACTGTGTGCACTGCCAGAATGAATCATACATGAATGAACAATATCAATTTAGATTTTGTGATTGTGCTCTAAGGTGATTTAAGCCATAATCTTTGCTGTATTGTATTTTATTATTGTTCTACATCCTTTATATAGCGCCAACAGTTTTCAGAGCTTTACAAAATAAAGAATGCTTAGCAACTATAAGGTTTCTAAAATATAAGTCTAGCCTAATACATATATAGATTTTTCTTGTTTCGCCAGTGGCTGAAGGAAATATAAGTGTCCAGCATCTGTGTTAAGCAGCGTAGATGGACAGATCTCCCTACTGGCTAATGTATTCTGCCAGCTGATTGAAAAAACCACCTTTTGTCAAGTTGGGTGGTGTCAAAATGGCTATCCAAGACCAGCTTGACAATATATCTGCACATATTCCAACTATTGCACCAAATTGAAAAGAGATCCTAGAGAACGAGTACCTCCTACTAATAAAATGTGTTGGCCCTTCTATGTGACTTTTAGTTTGTATAGATCAAATCTGTGTAGAATTATACAAAAAATAGTTAATGGCTCGACTAGGCATGAGGATAGTATCTACTTGAGGCTCATGGAGAACTAAACATGTTTAAAACCTAAGTTAAGCAAAAATTTATAACTTTTTTTTTTTTTTTTTTTTTTTGGCAGCCCTGCCTTTGCACATTCAGTCTAGGCTCACACTGTGAATTGTGCAACATTTCTGTGCAATTCACATGCGATTCTGTGTTGTGCAATCTGAGCCCATTTATTTTGAATGGCTCAAATTGCATCGCACCAAAAAAGTGCAGGCTCTGGATTTGCTGAATTTCCTGCACTGCATATGCGTGAACCTAGGTTCAAAATGAAAGGATTGGGGGTGAGCAGGGGTGCTATTGTAAAAAAAAAAAAAAATTAAAATTACAAGCTGGACTGATAAACTGCAATATTTTTCTTTTTTTATTCTTGTAATGTTATTGCACTGAGATATATATATATATATATATATATATATATATATATATATATATATATATATATAATTTTATTTTTTTTGGTTATTGTACCTCCTTGTGCTGTCCAGTTTTAAAGCTGTTATGAAAATGGGGTGCAAAAAAAAAAAGTAATGGGATAGCTTTGGAAAATGGTTAAGGCTGCCCAGATTTATTTAATAACCTAAATGCAATCTACCTTCAGCTGGGGGGGGACTGTGGTTTGTGTTTTTTTTTTTTTTTTTTTTTTTTTTTTTTTTTTTTGTTCCTCCAGGCAGTTTAAATAAGACAGTTGACGTACACAAAATATTTACCTGTTGAACAATTTCTAATAGTGTTGAGTCCTTGCCTCCTGTTTTTAACCCTGGCAAGTCCCCATAGAACAATTCTGTGAGTCACTAAATCCAATTTTATTTATAAATCTTGCACAGAACTGCTGTCCACAACAGCTAAACTAATTGCCCCTTTCAGGCGGCCATACTGGAACAAAGGATTTGACAGTCTAGTTGCCATGAGCAGTAATCCTATATCTCTTTTGGACATATTAGATCAGTTATTACTATGTTGTAAATAGCTTACTATGCTTTATGCCTTGTGATTGTAAATGATATATAATAGAACCAGAATGTTTTCCCGATTTTATGGGTTTTTATTTTTCTTATTTGCATGTTGATAACAACCATACAGTGCACTTTATCACAATGTAATCTCCTAAGTGAATTTTCAGTGGGTCTGTACACCTCAATAGTATTCATAATGGTGAATGTATTTCCCTTTTAGCATACAGAATGAATGTATTGTCATGAATTTCATTGCATGCATTTTCATGTATGCAGATTAGGATAAATAATGCAGCAGCAGAACACTGGCCTCAGGAATCCAGCTTCAACGATTCTCATTAGTTTGCTTTCCAAAGGTCACTTTGATACAAAGGCATTTCTAATGAGCAGTTTAGTAGTTGCAGTTTGTCAAAGGGGATGCAGCAGTTTTTTAATGACTGTGAAGGCTGACCCCTCCATCATAGTAAACTAGCCAAGATGACAAAGAAATAATCTTTTGGTATTTAGCTTTATCCTGCAGTGGTAGAAGCATTTAGGGCCCATTCACACCATTTGCATCGGGCAGCCTTGCCCAAAGTAGTCCCAATGCACAGAGGGCAGTAGCATGTAGTCTTTTGCTGTGTGGTGCATGGGTTGTGTTTTGTTTTTTGTTTGTTTTTTTTTCCCCCTCGATGTTCAAAAAAACCCATAAATGGTGATATGTGCTGGGATCAGTACTCTTCCTCCCAGCCCACACCAGCAGCCCTATGTTCATCGAGGCTGGTGGTGTGACCAAGCCGTAATGGAGGAGTGTTAAGGGCTATCTTACAACCTATGCTCTTTTTTTTTTTTTTAAAAAAAAAAAAAAAAAAAAAAAAAAAACCCGCTCCAAATGAGAAGGGTGTATGAACTTGGGAACGCACAATTTGACAGTTAAATAGGCTCACATTCTCTGCTGTTCAGAAAATTAATACAGAGATAGAACCGGCTGGTATGGCTCCTAGGAGGGTAACAAGAATATTAAAATAGACAATGAAAGCAGGTAAGCTAGGTCCTCTTCAGTCATTTAAATGTAACTATTTTACTCCTGGACTGACTCGTGTATACTCTGTGTTTTTATCTGCTGCTTTTTATAGCTGATTGGTATTGATTAAAGCAAACCTAAAAGTATTTAAAAATTCAAAAATGCCAGCCAAAGTGAAATGCAGACACCCAGGACTGCCTATACATACCCCTCATTTATTTTCTTCTAATCTCTGCACATCGGCCTGTGATGCTGAATTTCAGAATTCTGAACTTCTACCCTATGCTTTTTGTCATTGGTCATGTAATAGAATGCATGGCCCAGCTTTGAAATAGTGAAGTGCAGGAAGGAGCGATTTAAAGCACAGGCTTCACAGTTCCAAGTCAAGATTTGTATACCGAGCCCCCAATTTAAAGGGCACTGTGGAAGACCACTTTTAAAGTGTCTTAATTTCAGGTCTGTTTACGCTCAATCCATACCTGAACTACATGTGCACTCTATGATCTGTACAGGAATGCATGTTTAAGAGTAAAGCTGGTGATTCTACAAGAGAAATTGCTCACATTTCTTACACTCATATCTGTTTTACAGGTAAATTTGAAGACAAAGAAGATCGAGTGCCAAAGCTGGAGCAGCTGAACAGTCTGGGCTGTATGACCAATATGAACCTGGTGCTGACCAAACAGAACCTTCTTCATATGGAGCTTCTGCTGCTGGAAACCTTTGAGTGGAACCTGTGCCTTCCGACTCCTGCCCACTTTATTGATTACTACTTATCCATTGCTGTCCATGACACTGATCTCCATGATGGCTGGCCTATGATCTGTCTGGAGAAGACCAAGATCTACATGGCAAAATATGCAGATTATTTCTTAGAAGTGTCTCTGCAAGGTACAGCACATTGTTCCTGTTTTCTTATCAGAATAAGGTGCCGGTGGTCTTTACAATGTGTAACTGTGTTTTTTTTTTTTTTTTTTTTTTTTTTTTTTCCTTTTTTCAATCTTCATAGATCACATATTTTTAAATTACCTCCCATCACTTGTGGCAGCAGCATGTGTAGCAGCTTCTCGCATTATCCTGCGGCTTACGCCTTCCTGGCCAACAAGGCTCCACCGTCTCGCAGCGTATGCCTGGGATGTTCTTGTGCCTTGTATTGAGAGGTTACTGATGTAAGTTCAAGAATGATTTTTCTTTCCATGCTAACAGATTAATGATCTCCACTACATGGGTGATTTTTTTTTTTTTTTTTTTTTTTTTTCTTTTCATTTTTGTAGTAGGGATCAGTATCTTAAAATTTACACAATGCAACAAGCTTGTGTAATGGATTGGTACTAGATGCTACCCTCCTGTTTAATGGTTAATTGCTACTCCTAGTGATTTTAGAAGCACTGTTGAATCGCTAACTACCTACTGTATAGAGAGGTAGTTGAGTAGCTAAGTATCCAACCTAGTGAGGTGGTTAAAAATGTAATCCAGGTAGATAGAAAAAAAAAACACAAATTAATTCAGGTTTGCATTAAATGCAATGTAATCACCTGAATTTGACTTTATACAAGCCCTCTTGCAGAATTCTGCACAGTACATACAGCTAAACTCAAAAAGATGGAGCAAAATGCAGCACAAGGAGTCGGGTGTGGTGCAAGGAGTATGCTGATAGGCGAGAACAGAGTGACAGAACGTGGCTCATCTGTATGCTGCTTCTCTTTTGCTTGTTCAGTAATGTAGAGAAGAGACCTGTAAGTGAAAGGAAAACTGCAACAGAAAAAAAAAATCCGGTTCCACTTCCCCCACCAGCTGTGTAAATCTCAGGGTTGGGTGGAGAAAAATACAAATCCTTTGACAGATAACAATTCTCATTTATGTATTTCTTCTGTTGTGAAGCTTGTAACCCCAACAATGAGCAGAAGCTTCTTTGGGGTGACAAGCTTTGCACAGTGCAGTTTGTTTGCTATTTATTGCACAACAATCATGGCAGAACTGCACCATGTTTAGGTGCTATTGAAAATCAATGGCACCTGAACACACTTGATGTCTGTTGCCACTATTGCAATGCAGTTAGATTGCAGGCAGAATCGCAGAAAATGATATGAACAAAGCCTGATTCATAGCCATTGTAAGAAATTAAATGTATTTTTTACTGCAAGTGGAAATGATAAACTTCATTTTATACTACTAGTACAAGTAAAAGTGGTTTTCCAATCCATCTTATTTAAAGAATGGCACATTCAGTGTTGTAAACAGAAACCGTACTTTAACATATAAAAGATGGGCTAAATTTAGTGTACAAGAAAAGCATACGAGGAAAAATATGGAGTTCTCGTAGACTGCTAGCATAACAGGTTTTCTAAAATTGCTACTAATTGCATTGATGTTGGTTATTACTGTCCATTTTTAAGAATCATTAGTTTCACTTTGAATTCTGTGGAAAGAGACCTGAAAAATACATCACTAACCATACCAAAATGTAAGGTCCTTAGAACCCTAGGTATAGCACCCAGTCTGGGCAGTTTGTTTTTATTTTGCTAACTGGTATTTCCCAGAATAGTCATAAGTACTTAATAAATGTCCACCTTTTTGAGAAGACCTATGCACTTGGGAGAAAATGATGGCAAGACCTAAAGTCTAAGTTTACCTGCAATACAAATCCGCACAAGGGACATTTACTTGCCTTCAGTAGGATGTGTCCTCCTTTTTCACCAAAATCTTCCTCTTCTGGAGCCCCCCCCCCCCCCCCACCACCCATACCTTCCAGTGCAGCTCTGGTTAATAGTTCTAAGGGGACTCATCAAGAGTGCCTAACTATGCCAGCAGTTTCTGCCCCCGCTGCTTAATACATGGAAGCTGTAGTAACAGCTTCTAGGAATGAATCAGGAGCTATGAATGGAGGACGAGCGGATGAGTAGGTCCCTTATGTATGAGTTCCATGGTGTCATGTTGTTATTACAAACTGTTAGAAGCAAAACTATCTTATAAATCAGTACTGATTATTTATTTTTTTTCTTTTCCAGTGCACATGACAATGATGTAAAGGAGGCAAACAAGCACAAAACGCAATTGAGCCACTCTGCAGCACCATGCGTATTTCCTCAGTCGCCTGCCACACCGCAAGCTCATGTCCAGCAACACCTACCCCAGTTCCTACAGTCCCAGCACCAACTACAGTTCCACCACCCAACCCCTCAGCAGACGAGCTGCCAACAAATTGTCTCTGCTGCTCACTCCTCTGCATTCCCTCTCCAGACGTGTACGTCCAGCCTGACCACCAGTGTCCAACCACGGACACACATACAGACTGCTGCCAGTGTCTCATTAGCTGCTGTGCCTATAGAAGTGAAACCGTGTATAGGGGTGTCCTATAACAGAAGCTTCCCAGTGAATGGACACTACTCTTGTATAACGCAGTGCTTCGAGAGGTGATGACAGCCATCTCCAACCTCTCTCTGTCCTGCTCTTGAAATACATGCTGTGAATTGACAGTTTTTTTTTTTTTTTTTTTTTTTTTTTTTTTTTTTTTTCTTTTCCATTTTGTTTTGGGGGATTTTTTTGTGCCCCCAGAGACTAGCGCAAGATCGCGCTCTTCGAAAGCCTAAAGAGGCGCAACCACTCAACGGTGCTAAAGAACTGTCTGACCAAGTGCTTTTCCCACCATGGTCTTCAGGGAACTTGTCTTTCTGAAGACATCTTCACTGTGTGATGAAGGAGATTATACAGTATTAGTCTTTGGCAATGTCACATGTCCATAACTGCTTGGCCAGTTATAAGGTGTTCACAATAGTGCTTGTTCATCTGAAGTACGGTTACTTATGGCATTTTGTACTGGTAAATCTAAATCATCATGTTCTAATGTTTCCATTATACCTCATATATATTTTTTTTCTTTTTTTTAAAGCAATATTCCACACTAACTCAGGGAAATAATATATAACTCTATTTCATGCTGCTGGTGTTTTATTTAATATAGAGTTAGAAAAGTGCTGGACAAGTCAAAGAAGCCAGATAGACCAGAAGATACCAAGGCTCCCTCAGACCTTCCTACCGGTGCCTAATTCCTGATTTGATGTCAAGGAATGAATATCTCTTGCCTTTTGAAAGTTGTTTTTTATTTTATTTTTTTTCCTGGCTCCTACATTTCATTGGCTAGCTGGTGGCTAGTACCATCCTGGGTTAGATGTCTTTAATGTTTTACTTTCGTCTGGCAAAGATCTAAAAAAAAACAAAAAAAAAAAAACAAATCTATGCTGCTCTTCAGCCCCTTTTTTGGAACCTGTTTCAGAGTATCAGAACGCCTTGCATTATACATGTAGTGTTCTAGATAAATATACAGCATGATGGTAACATGAGAGGGGGGGAAGCCATGGACCTCGGTAGTTAACCCTCTTATTGTTTTAGGTAAGGTTTTGATGGTGTAGATAGATTTATAGTTTCATGTGTTATTTCTTTAGAAACCAAAATGAAAAGAACCAAAACTAATGTAAAATTCAGCCTTTGTATCCTTAATGAATGGTCGTCTAAAAAGTATTTTATCAGTGGACTCTTGCAGGCTTCCTTCCATACTGATGCAATTTCAGTGTGTTTTTTTAGAGGTATAAGCTAGACTTGATCACACTTTCTGTTACAGATAGGGTTTGGGATACGCCCTGTTTTCAAAGTGGACACCTTTTTTGGTCATTTTGATTGAAAATGATTTAAATATATTGCTGCAGAGTCCAAATATTGTAGAGTTGTAAATTCTATTTTATTACTATTTTTTTTTTTTTTTTTTTTTTTTTTTTTTTCTTAATGTAGTTTGTAAATTCAATAGGGTTTGTCGATCATGATGAAATGTCATTTACATAGTGTGTTTAGAAAGTGGGGCTTATTAACAAAAAAACTCAGGCCAAGAGCAGGGGTGTGTAGTAGTCTATAACAGCCTATCAGAAACTAGCTTAATCTTACTAGAGCTTTGATGGCTATCTGGTGGTTGGTTGCTATAGGCTGAGACATATCATTGTTAAATAAAGCCAAGTGTTTTCATTCCAAAAGTGCCAGAACACTAAGGATCCTCATTTTTATAAGATAATAGCATTCCAGTTTGAGGACTTCATAAGTGTCTTTATTTACCTACCTCATTGTGAAGCTCTGTCCTAACTTGAATAATCGCTGTCTTGTGAGCCTGACTCTTACTTATATTTTTTTTTTTCTTATTTTACAAAACTACTCTAGAAAATACTAGCTAATACTAACACTGGAGTAAATGTTCCTTGAAGATTAATAGAACGATAAAGAAATGACAGTATGCTATCTAGTACTCGGCATCTGTATATAGTCCTTTTTTTTTTTTTTCTTTTTTTTTTTTTCTTTTTTTTTTTTTTTCTTTTATTTAGAAGACAGCAGGACCAGACTAAAGACACTACATTTCTTTATTTATTATGTAGCATAATCCTTCTTTTTTTTTTTTTTTTTTTTTTTTTTTTTTTTTTTTTTTTTTTTTGGTGCGAGAATGTTATGAAAGCAGCCAAAGCTTTGTTCACTAAGGAGCTGTTTATTAAGAAGGGACTCAAATGCATTGTTACATGTTTTGCATACAAGCCAAAATGTTGTGGGATTCAGATGGGGTATATGGAAACTCTTGGAGTATTACACCACAACAAAGAATTCTGAATGAGTGCTATGCACTTCAGATTTTTTTAAATAAATGTTTTTTTGCCTAAACCGTTGTGGACTCTTATTAAAACCATATGGTAGGAAGATGGGTTTGTTTCAGATTTGCAGGTGC